AAATGACAGGGCAGAGAACCAGCTCATGTAGCTGGTTGTCCTTGCGCCTCCTGGCGCCGGGAGGCGCCCGTGTATCGAGGAATGGGCCAGGCGGCGAGACGGAAACCAGCTACATACAGCAGATGTCGTAACCTCCCCTTCCCTATCCCGGAGGAGGAGGAGGAGGAGGAGGAAGAGGAGGAGGAGGAGGAGGAGGAGGAGAAGGAGGAGGAGGAGGAGCAGGAGGAGGAGGAGGAGATGGTGATGGGAGGAGGAGGAGGAGGAGGAGGAGGAGAGGACGAGGAGGAGGAGAAGGAGGAGGAGGAGATGAGGAGGGGGAGGAGATGAATGATGATGATGATGATGATGAGGAGGAGGAGGAGGAGGAGGGAATGAGGAGGGGCAGAGGGGAGGAGGAGGAGGAGGAGGAGAAGGACGAGGGTGATCATGGTGATGATGATGATGATGAGGAGGAGGAGGAGGAGGATCAGACTCAGCTCGGCGGACCGTTGGGTTGAGACCCTCGCTGGCACACGATTAGACTGTAGGCGATAGAAGCAATCGAAGGAAGACCCACTTACCAAGCCTTCGATATGCAGCTACATGCAAGCGGTGGAAGAGACGGATGAAAGAAGAGGGCAACGAGGCAAAAGGATGCGGCGCGCCTTGGCGCGCGGGTCGGTCAGCCAGCTCTCCGAGCCGATCGTCTGTTCAGCCAAAGCTCTCGAAGGTCCTGCCACGCCTCCGAGTCGATCGCCGAGGATTCGAAATCGTGGCCTAAGATAAACTTAAATTGGTCCTCACACCTCCAGGGTTTGAACACATATCCATGGCACTGGCTACCGAAACAAGTTTTTTTTTTAAAAACATAATCGAGGTATCTGTGACCCCGCCACCTCAAAGCTAAAAAGGCGAGTCTATGCTGTTCGTGTTCCGGGAATCTAACTACGTGGCCGCACCAATCAAACACTCTCTGCAGGCAGACTAAATCCCATCTCTTGAGGCCTAACCTATCTAGATATATCTTCCTAAGGGTATTCACGTGAGCAAGATGACCACCCAATAGATCTTCATGGAAGTCCTCGAAAGCATCCTCCTCCTCCTCCTCACCTGGGCCGCCCTGGGGGGCAATCTCTGGGCCCCGAATCACCGCAGGCTCGCCGAAGGGGGGCGCATCCGAGTTCACAATGTTCGTCGTCGTCGTCGGCGGGGGGGGGGGGGCGGGTTGGGTCGCTGTCGGGGGCGGGGGGGGCATCTTCTTCCGAAAGACCTTTCTTTCCATCTTAATCTGGACCCCGCGGATCTTCTGAAGGCGGGCCTGGGCGAAGTGGAGGGCCCCCACGTTGCACGTCAGGGCCGGCAGAACCACGCGGTGGAGGAGGCGAAGCCGTTTTGTTCTCGTCCCCGCACGGCACGTGAGCAGACGACTGCGGCGTCCAAAGGCGGCCCAAACGGCCCTAATACGTCGTTCCACCTCCGCCGAGGCGTTGTTGTCAAAAGTGATCTGGTGACCCAGCACCTAGATCCCAAGCTCTCTCTCCGTGAACCCGATTTTGAACTTCCGAGGGGTACTTGTTTGGGGGGCTGTCCGAGGTCTCTTCTTCGGCGGTTCCACCGCCGTCAGCTTGGGAGCAGGCTGGTCCCAGACGTCCGTCACCGAAATCTGAGAGTTCTGATCCTCTGTCGAGATCCACTCGACCTCGTGCAAGTCTACCCACCAGCCCGCAGCACGAACAAGCTCGTGCCAAGCATCGGTCATCTGGGTGATCATGACAGCATTCACGCCCAGTAGCAAAAAATTGTCAGCGAAAATCAGGACGGGGATCCTCTGTATCGGTGTATTGTTGGAATCTCTCTTTTGGCAGGCGTTATAATTAATGTCCAGGGCTCTAAGATCCTCATGGTCTATCGGGTATCCCCATCCTTTCTGCTTGCACAAGGTTAAAAAAGGCAGGACGAGGGTGTGATCCACGATGATGTTGCATGTCCTCGGTCCGTCGGGGTCTCCCTGGAAGATTGAACGGGTTCTTGACACTGGTTTTGAAGGAGGGAGTCGAGGAAGAACGAGGCGCCCTTGCCCTCTACGAACTTCGCGGACCATGGCCGCAGTCAGGATGTCGGGAATGCCAGCGAGCTTAAAAGCGTGGCACCAGACACCGTGGTCTACACAATCGTAACACTTGTACAGGTCTCCAGCCACTATGTGTAGTGGGATTCGAAACTCCATCGCTTTTTCCACCAGGATCCGAATGATGAAAATAATCTCAGCAGTCTGGTGACCTGTCCTGAACGCAAACTGGTGCGCCGAGAGGGGACGCGTGGCGAGGTGCCCCAACTCCGAGAGAGCCTGCATGTATGCCTTCCATAGCACAGAGAGCACAGCAATAGGCCTCCACTTCTTGATACAGACTGGGTTGATCATTTTTTCGATCAAGTGGACGTCGTGAGCGCCCCAGCTGGACGGCGCGTCCATCGCTGGGTCGTTCAGGAGACGGAGTTCGAACAGCGAGGCGAGGGTCTCGTACAGATCATCCGAGGCGTCCAGGAACATTTCGACAACGACCATTTCACTTCGGGGGCACGACTTTCCTCTCTTCATCTTGAGAACGATCTGACGGACTCTGGATCCCGTGCTGTTTCCAACTCGAAGGAGGTCCTCCCTGGTCCACCGACGCGAAATCCAAGAAGGAAGGGGTCGAACATCTCTTGAACGATGTAGGTCCGAAAAGAAATCCTCAGCTGTCTTCAAAATCTCGGCGGGGTCCGAGGTCAGGACGCCGTGAGTATTAAACATATTGCCCTGCCACGTGCTAGGAGGTATGTTATTGCCAGATCGGCCCTGCTGCAAAAGCCACTCGCATTGCTGATCATGACGTATGCAGCGAATCTGGCGTCTAGTGAGTGTCTCGGCCATGCAATAAAAGTGTCGGAGATTCGGCTTCTCCGCGGCCCGTCGTAAACCTTGGATGCGCTCCAGTTGGGAACTGATGGGCTCTGTCAGGGGCGTCCGATGGGGGTCTGTTGGAGCGTCTCTTCCCGGAGGCTTCTGCGGCGGTCGCGACATCGTTCAGGGTGGGGAGAGGTCTTCCGCTCTCGTCCGTCAGGGGGTGGAAGGAGAGGGGTCGATCGGAGGGGGGGCCGATCGTCGCGGGGTCGGGGGGGGGGGCGTCAGGGGAGAAGGGGGGCGTCGGTGTCGAGGTCGTTTGCGAGGGGGGAGGCGCGTGGGGGAGGGGCGGAGGGCGGAGGCGGGGTGGTCGGCGAAAGACGGAGGGATGGCCCAGGTCTCCCCTTCACCACTCGGGGGGGCCCAGGCCTCCAAGTGGACTTCCAAGTGTCTCGCGGCCAAGAGACGACGCCAAACGGTCGAGCAGTCATTCGGGCTGGGTGTCGGCGTTCTGGGTCAGCCCCCGCCTTGGCTAGGAGGTCCACCGCGGTGTTGCCGGCGTCCTTGGAGCATCCCTTACGCCATTCGGGGGGCAGACCTGGTTGCAGCGGCAAACGTCCCGCCACAAGGCCAGGAGCACAGCGACGAGGTTCAAATTACTGCGAGCTCGCCATCTGCCCCAAATCACCTGTTGCACGTATCTGGGGTCGAACGCAAACTTGATTTTCGAGTTCTTGGGGATGAGTCTCTGGGAGTCTGGGAGGCTCTCCTGGAATAACAGCCATAAACAAGCCTCGGTCGGGGCCGTGAGCTCAGCGGTGTTGTTCGACTCCCTGCTAGCGCCTAGGAAGAGCGTGTCCGCGGTGCCCAAGCACACAGGACCGCGCGCCTGAGCAATCGGGTCTGCGCCCGCACAGGGGCACGCCGTCTGGAACAGAGCGAAGCCCCACCCAGCACATCCTAGAAGACGGTCTCGAGAGCGTTTACGAAATCGAGGAATCTTGTCGTAGAAAGAACCGTCCAGGAACAGACCGAAGGCCTCCTCATCCTTGAAAAACGCGTTCATCGTCCGATCGATGTCCAGGGAGTCGCCCAGGGTGTTTCGATGCGAGGTAATATCATTACAAATCCAGTAGATCGGTTTCGGGGGGAGAGGTTCGAGCATAGCCGCGCGGGTCCAATTACTCGCAGGGTCTCGAACGCTGGCCTGGACCTTCAGGGGGATGTGATTCGATGTCGTCGCAGTCGAGAAATCCACCGAGCGCGAAATCGAGGCCTGGGCGAAGTTCCGAGTCAGGACATAATCGATCTGTTTGGGATCTCTCCTTTGGCCTGGGTCTGGGAAGTGAGTGTAGCACCTCTGTCTACAGTAGTGGAAAGTATTTTCAGCCCTCAGTCCTAGTTCTTCGAGCACTTGAAGAAGTTCGCGAGCTTTCCAAGCCAGTTTATCGAGCCGGTGGCGTTCTTGGGGAGCGCAGAAATAGGAGCCGATGAAGGGGGGGATGATGTCGGGGTCCGCAACCGAACCCAGGTGAGCGTTGGCATCCATACCTATGATTACTTTGGTGTCATTCGCGACCGACTTCACGTGCTGGCGGATCTCGCCCAAACTTTCTAGCAGTAACATCCGTGACTTCGAAGGGTGAGGGTGGGCCGAGCCCACGAGAACACGGCCGAATTCAGAATGCTCGCAAACAGCGCCCACGTAGCGACTACCCTGGGTCACCTCGTGGACCTCCCAGCCACAATCTCGATGGATGATGATCGCATTCTGCCTGTCCCTGCCACTCGGGGGACCACGATCACACGATGTCCATCGATATGCTCTGGAGGCGCAGCTTTGCGAAGAGCGAAGCACTCTTGTAGTAGAAGCATGCACCAAGGGAGCTCCCTCTTCATGTCTCTCAAGAAATCTGGCATCCCTGTCAACGACACCACTCTCACATTCCAGCTGATGATGCACGAATGGTCAAGCAAGGTACGTTGTCGCCATCTCTTGAGCCCCGAAGAAGGTCCACCTCACAGGTCTCCAGCAGACCGGATCAGAGCGATGTGGTCGCTCAAGGTCAGGTTGAGGCCGAGGTCGGTGAGCAGGGCCTGCGCGGTGGTGGTGACCTTCATCTTGTGCGTCTGGCGGTCACTCGAAGAGCTTGATCGGGCCTGCCATGTGCGCGTTGTCTGGCAACTTGCTCGGCAGGAAGATGACCTCGCCCTTGTCGTTCCTGATGTCGAAGCAGCCCCTGAAGTCGTGCAACTGACTCGCGGGGAAGAGCGCCTTCACCAGCGGCTCGAGCACCTCTAACGCCTTCACCTGCTGCTTGCTGACCCCGATCTCCCAGCCGAGCTTGCCGATGCCGTGCCAGAGCTGGGTTCTTCCCGCGGCTACGTAGTTGCCACCCTGGAACGTCCGTCCCTTCATAGTCTTGAGGCATGCCCACATCTCGTCCGAAGAGTGAAAGATGATCCTCACCCTCTCGCAGTATCCACCAGTAGGAATCACTTTGTCGTATCTGATTGCTTTGGCAGTCAGCTCATTCTTGATCTGATTTACGAGAAGGTCTCCAGACTCGTACTTGAAGCCGCCCACGCATACCACCTTCCCCTTACCCATGGGAACGTATATCGTAGAGGCAGCCGTAGATAAGGCCGACGCCAGGGTCGCTGACAGGGGGGCTGTGTAGCCCGAGGCAGGCGTGGTGCCCCCTCCTCTGCCCGACTCGAGCCTGGAGAGGCGGTCGTCAAACGCAGCCTGCTTTTTCTCGACGCTGGTCATCTTGGCGTTGACCGTGGAGACTTCAGTCCTGACAAGTTCAATATTCGCGTCCTGCGGGGCCGTCGCATCACGAATCATGCTGCCCATAGCCCTCAGCATTCTGATCTGGCCTTCGCCCAATCCCTCGGACGTCCCATGCCGTAGGGCCGCCGCCCCTGGATCAAAAACGGGCGGTGCTGTCCTCTGTCGGCTGACTCTCTCAAAGTCATCCCCTGCTCCCATTTCCACCTCATGAGGGAGAGACCCAGGTGCGAAGGCCGCTGGGAAAGCAGAAGTCGCACCAGACATCTGCGTGTGTGCAAGGTGTGGGTCGGGCAAAATGCAAGGGATCGCTAAACACGTGGCAGTATGGGGACACACACAGCACTCATCGGCCGATACGACCTTGAGCCAAAATGGAGGAGGATGAGGAGGAGGAGGAGAAGGAGGAGGAGGAGGAGGAGCAGGGGGAGGAGGAGGAGAAGGAGGAGGAGGTGGACGAGGAGGAAAAGGAGGAGGAGGAGGAGGAGGGAAGGAGGAGGAGGAGGAGGAGGAGGAGGAGAAGGGGGAGGATGAGGAGCAAGAACAGGAGGAGGGAAGGAGGAGGAGCAGCAGCATCAGGAGGGGCCCCATTCACGCCCCCAACGGCCGCCTCCAGCTTGGCCGCCTCGCTCTCGATGGGCCGCAACATCGCCTGCCCTCCCTCCCTTCCTCCCACGAGAGGAGTGGAGCAGGAGGGGGGAGGACGTGGGAGGCCTTCGACGATGATGATGATGATGATGATGATGATGATGATGATGATGATGATGCTGATGATGATGCTGATGCTGATGCTGATGTTGATGTTTATGATGATGGTGCTGGTGCTGATGATGATGATGACGATGATGATGATGTTGATGATGATGCTGATGCTGATGATGGTGATGGTAGTGATGATGGTGGTGATGATGAGCGCGATGGTTATGAGAATGCTGCTTCTGTTGGTGATGCTGATGACGATGATGCTGCTGACGGTGATGATAATGCCGACGACGATGATGATGACGATGCCGATGATGATGGTGGTGATGATGACGACGGTACGGATAGTGGTGATGATGATGCTTGTGATGATGATGCCGATGATGATGGGGATGATGGCGATGATGACAATGATGGCGGTGGTGGTGATGGTGATGGTGGTGATGATGATGATGGTTGGGGTGGTGATGATGATGATGGTGATGATAATGATGCTGATGGTGGTGATGATGAGGATGATGATGAGGATGATGATGATGAGGATGATGATGCTGACGACGACGAGAATGATGATGGTGATGGTGATGGCGATGGCGATGGCGATGGCGATGATGATGATGATGACGACGACGAGGATGATGATGATGATGATGGTGATGATGATGATGATAATAAGAATGAGGCTGATGATGAAGATGAGGAGGAAGAGGAACGGAAGACCAAAGATGGAGGCTGTGATTGCATTATGCTGTGAAAGCGGGATTGGCCCTCGGGCCCCGTAAACATCGCGTCACGTTCATATTCCGCCCGACGAAGAGGCTTTAGAGGAGGAGGAGGAGGAGGAGGAGGAGGAAGGAGGGGGAGGACGAGGAGGCCTCGAGGAGGAGGAGGGAGAGGACAAGGAGGAGGAGAAGGACGAGGAGGACAAGGAGGAGGGAGAGAAGGAGGAGGATGTGCAGAAGGAGGAGGAGGAGGAAAGGGAGGAGGAGGAGGAGGAGGAGGAGGAGGAACAACTTTATGCATACATGCATCTATTTCCAAAAACACAATGTACATCACTTTTGCCAGAAAACCAGACGCTCAATATATCTGCCACTGTGCTGTGCGACACGTTTGTAAGTGGCCTCAGGATCTTAGAGTTCTCCGTCCTATGTCTTCAATCCTCAGGATTGAGCACGTAGGGGCCAGGACTCAAAATTCTCAGATTTCTTGGGGCGTCCCACGTGCTGGTGCGTGTCCCGCGCATTGTCGCCAGACTTTTCCAGAGGCAAGGGCACCCGAAAATAAGCCAAGAATGTTCACAGGTACCCCCGAGATGAGTCAACATGGCTCCGAGACGGCCCAAGAGCACCGCAAAATGCCCAAGATGTCCCCACGACGACTCATCAGGCCTCCTAGCCTCCCCAAGAGGCACAAATCATTGAATAGGCGTGTGTGTGTGTGTGTGTGTGTGTGTGTGTGTGTGTGTGTGTGTGTGTGTGTGTGTGTGTGTGTGTGTGTGTGTGTGTGTGTGTGTGTGTGTGTGTGTGTGTGTGTGTGTGTGTGTGTGTCTGTGAGGCATTCGGGAAGGCGGGGCAACTGCGAAGCCGGAGATGCCCGGACAACCGGGAAGGCGGGGTGCTTTCACGGGTGTGTTCCGGTGTGTGCGTCTGTGTGTGTGTGTGTGAGGCAACCCCTGTATCCAAGGGGCCGCTCTTTGACTGCAGCTGGAAGGGTAGGCAGCGGATGGACCAGTACACCTAAAAAGATGGGCCACAAAAGTGCGGTCCGGTTTCAGAAGGTCCTGTGGACAAAAAAAACTACATGCTACGCCCAACTGCTATCCCACTTTGTGGGATTGATGGCTGTGCTATGCTACATGATACCTTTCTTCATGGGGCAGGGGCTTAACACGAACGAAGGGTGCGAAAAATGAGGGAGGGTGGCATATTCATTGATCTGTGGGTGCGTCTTCTGGCGATAAGAATCCTGACTGCTGTTCGCGACGGAGAAGAAGAAGCGAGAAGATCGACTTAGTTCAGACTTGAAAAGGCAGTGCCGAATCAGCTTCGACTTGGTTTTGACTTGGGTGGCTGAGCCGACTCAGCTTCGACTTCGCTCCGCCTTCTCTGGCATTGCCGACTCCGCTTCGACCTAGTGTTGTCTCAATGTTTTCGACTACATAGGGGCCCTTCCACAATAAGCCTTCCACAAAAAACCCAACCCTGAGACCCCAGGACCTCCATTGATTTTTGGTGTGGGAGCGCCGCGCTTTCCATAGCAAACCCATCGAAACCCGAGAAACCCAGGGCACCCTGGAGTAAGCAGGGTGTTTCTTGGCATGGGCCCCCACAGTAAGTTCGTGCCTTACTCCGAGTCTTGAAGCTGCTGCGACCCACCCGGGCAGCCCCTGCTCAACCCTTGGTGCGTGGGGGGCGGCGCAGTGGCCGCCGGCAGCGCCAGCCACAAAGACTCCGATTCCAAGGCTCAGCTGAAGAAGGGGAGATCGGAACACCCGGGAAGGCGGGGTGCGTTTGTGTGCGTGCGCACATCGCGCATGCGTGTGCCGTGCCGTGCTGCGGTGCGAAACGCAAGTGGGAGGACGGCGCAAACCTTCAGAGGACGGACGTGTGGGCGCGTTTACATCGTGCATGCGTGTGCCATGCCGTGCCGCAGTGTGAAGCGCCACTGGGAGGACGGAGCACATTTCTGGAGGATGGGCAGTCTTGTCATTCTTGTCCTTTCGTCTCCCATTTCCTCGTCTCCTCCTCCTCCTCCTCCTCCTCCTCCTCCTCCTCTGCCCGATGGGGAGGTTGAGGCTATTTAGGGCGCGGGCCCGGTGCTCCGAGCCAGCAGACTTCGGGGATGCCAGCCCGTCAGCTTTGACCCCCCCTGGAGGGCTGATCCGGTAAGCTGCGGGGGTGCCCGCCCGTCGGGCTTGAGCCCCCCTCGGTGGGCTGAGCTTTTGCTTCCGGTTCCCGTAGGAGCCGTGGGGAGAGGGGCATCGCACGAGCAGGCAAGCTTCTTGGGCCGTCGTCGTGGTGGGCACGATGTACGTCACGACCGAGATTCTGTGCCTCTGGCACTCTTCAAGTCAATCACTCTCAATCACTCTCAGAAAGTCGTCTTTGCTTGGCCTCTGCTTGGCCTCTGCTTGGTCTCTGCTTGGTCATGGAAAAGCCTCCTAACGCCACCAGGGGGCGCATGAGGGGGATACACGGCGCCGCCCCGGCCAGCATCCGAGTCCAAAGCTTTGTTCGTCCTTGTCAGGACTTTTGGGGATTCTCCGGAAGAGGTCCGCAGACTATCAGGTGCCCGCACCGTGCTTCACAAAGCTAGAGTGGCTAAGAATACGCCTTCTAAGAAGCCTCAACCCAGGAAGGTTTCATGACCTTGTCAAGTGTGTGTGTGTGTATGTGTGTGAGTGTGTCTGTATGTGTGTGTGTGTGTCTTTGGCGTCTTCCTCCCTTTCGTGCTCGGTCCCCCTTCCACCGCACCGGTACGCGCCTGGGGATTACCGGTCCTCCAGTTCCCATGGGCGCTGCGCGCAGCGCTGCTCGCGCCAATCCTTCCTGCCGTTGACCGCTGCGCCCGCCTTATGGCGACCCGGCCTTGCTGCTCGCCTTTGGCTCCCGCGCGCCGTCTTGCCGCCTGTCCCGTGG